AGTTTATCACACTGACGAATGGGGAGAAGTTTCCAGAAGGACGTGGCCGAATGAGCAAAGCCATAGAGGCCAGAATGAGCATGTGTCTGCTGGGGGAAGCTTGTGTATCTGGAGCTTAACCTGGGAGGCAGGGAGAGGGGAGAGGCGGAGGCAGGCAGGGCCCAGTCGCTGAAGGCTGTGTAAACCCTGTCAGTCCCCCCGCCTGGGGCGATCTCACCCATCCGTCGAGGGGAACCTTCCCCAGACGCTTCCCTAAAGCTCGCCTCTGAGAGGTGGGCCCACTGCACGGAGAAGCAAGGTCAGGCGGCCCGGCTCTGTGCTCCTGCCGTATCCCGAGCGCCGTCCGTCATGGGATTTACCGGCTGCTTCACAATTTCTGTTCCTGTTTGCCTCTCCTCCCGGGGTTTTTGGTGGTAGTAGAGTGCATCTTGTACCTTTTTGCGTTCCTAGACCCTAACTTGATCCCAAACTCATAAATGGTAACTTATAAGGGAATAGATGGAGAAAAGAAGGGAAGGAAGGGTTTAAATAGTGCAGAAATCCCTCGGTGTTAGAAAGGCAATTTTAGCAGCAGTGTGAAAATGGAATGTATTTTTTAGGGCTCTTTAACTGTGAGTGTTAGAAACACGACTCAAACTGGCCTAATAAGGAGAGAGAATCCATTGCTAATGACAATCTCAGTTAATGGATTAGGCAGGGCAAAGCCAGATTCAGGTGTTCAAACAACGTCCCCAGTAATCCTGTGTTTGCAGAGGCCAGGGCTGTGCTTTCCTCTGCGGCAACGCAGTTTTCAGGCAGGCTCTCCTCAAGCAATGGCAAGACTCCAGGTTTCTATCTGCCCGGTTCAGCAATCCCAGAAAGAAGCAAGAGCCTCTCAATTCCCTTCGTGCCTACGCAACTGGCCTTGTCCCTGAATCAGCCGGTCTGAAGTTATTGAATCCACTTTGAACCCGTATTGGCCTGGGCAAGAGCACAGGCGGGAAGGAGGGACCGACGCTGCCCTAGGGGTCCCAGGCTCCCCCTCTTGAGTTCAGAGTTGAAGTCACCTTGCCTTAACCACATAGGCCGATGAGGGCAGAGGTGAGCATTTCCAAAGGAAAACCAGGGTTCTAGTTTAAGAAGGTGGGAGCATGAGTGTGAGACAGGTAGAAACAGCAGATTAGTGAGGACTGGAAGAGGGGCTGACACTGATATTCAACTGAGCGTTCTTACACAGGGATGGGAGGTCTTGAGATCTAGTGACATGTTCTGCCGTCTTCATTTTCTCCCTCCAGAGCAGAACCATTTTACAACAAACGAGAGCTGTTAGGAAATGAGAGGGCAGGTGGCAGTTATGTCAACCACGCCCTCAAGGCCAGCCGGGTCAAGCAGAGCCCTACCTACCCACTCGTGCTGGCTAATGGGCAAGGTCAGCGCTCACCATGGAACAGTGGCCCCACGTAATATGAAGCCGTATTACATTGTAATAGTCAAATCCGAAAGATACAATGAAAATTACAGGGTGGAACTTAATAAACTGAGCTCCCATTTTAGAAGTAACTTCGTTGGGTTCATGGTTACATGGATTTACAGCTTCTGCATATAAAAGTGGCACTCAACGCAGGTTAAAACAACTAGCAATTTGTTTATCACAGCGGGCTTTAAAAATGTCCTTACTATAGGGTTGCCATGAATTAAATCATGGAAAGTGGTATATTATGACAGGAAAAACTTTTTATTTCCTTTCTGAAAGCAAATGATTTTGATTAAACAAGTTTTAGGAATCACATTGTAGGTCATTCCAGATAAAGGGTTGATTTTTGACATGTCTCATCCTTTGGCTGCTACTATACATAAATGGAAATTCTGCTCTCCCCGGGTGTTGGCTTACATCAATGCTTTGGGTTGAATCTGGAAATCATTACAGCTAATACTTTCTGTTGTTTGGGCAGCCAGCTGCTGATGTCCAAGGGAGAGAGACGGTCACTTCTGAAATATTTTCCCAAAAATGAATTGGTGAGAATTTCTCTTCTTCCTGTGTTTTTATGAAAAACAATTGAAATTAAAATTTTAGTGTCTGCAAGATTTGGTATCTGTTAAGATCTCTCTTCCTGGTTTGGAGACAGTTGTCTTCTTACTGTGTTCTCACATGGCAGAGAGAGAGAGAGAACACTCTCTCTGGTTGTCTCTTCTTACAAATGCACTAATCCCAACATGAGGACCCCATCCTCATGACTTCATATAAACCTTACTACCTCCCCAAATCACCTAATACTATCACAGTGGGGTGTAGGGCTTCAACATATGACTTTTTGGAGGACACAAACAGTCCTTAACAGTAAAGTTGAAAAACGCTATTTCTATTGTGTTTAACAAATATTTATATAGCACCTAATGTTTGCTGATGTTTTACAAATGTTAGCATATTTAATACTCGTAACAACTCTGTGAGGTGGAGCACTATTATTAACTCTCTTTTACGGAGGAAAAACAAGAGCAGAGGGTCAGACGGTTAGCTGAGTATGTAGCTGAGGTTAGTCGTGATGCCTGACCGCACTCTCCTCCTGAGCAGATCACTTCTGCACATCTAGCTCTTCTCACAGCACTGGCAGAATATCTCGCCCATCCCGGAGGCCTGCATCTGCCCTGGAGGAGCAACTTAAACCATCTACAGTTTCATCCAGAAAGAGATATTGAAGCTGACGGTGAAAAGTGAATCGCATCCTTCCATATTCATGGAGAACTGGTTCCAGGACATGCCCCTCCCACCATGCTCCAGTACCTTATATAAAATGACATAGCATTTGCATGTAACCTGTGTATACCATCCCATATTCTTTATATCATCCCGAGATTACACATGATACCTAATACAATGTAAACACTTTGCAAATAGTTGTTATACTGTATTGTTTAGGGAATAATGCCAAGACAAAATATCTGACATGTCAGTACAGATGCAATCACGGCAGGCCTAACTACATAGTAGATCTCAGCAAAAACAGCAACATTAAAGATACATATATTTTCTATCTTGAGGCTTGTTGATCCGAGGATGCAGATCCAGCAATAAGTAGGGCCAACTGTATCCAGTGAGAAGGCTTTGGATACACAGATTTTGAAATGTTTTATTGACATTCTTAGACATCTGAATTAGTACTTTCGTAGTTATCCTGGCTGGGTAGCTCAGTTGGTTGGAGCATTGTCCGAATATACCAAGGTTTTGGGTTAGGGCCCATACAAGAATCAACCAATGAACGCATAAATAAGTGGAACAACGCATTAATGATGTTTCTATCTCTCCCTTCCTCTCTCTCTAAAATGAATACATTTTTTAAAAATTAAAAAAAGTACATTGATAGCTATTTCTCAAGAAAGAACCCAACGAGGCAGGAAAATTCAGATGATGTGGAGTGGAATATACTATTAATTTAGTATTTATATATTCAAAGAACACATCTGTTTGCTGCCTAGAGGAGCAATGGCAGGAGTCACTTTCTGATGACGATGGTCTTTTCTATCCATGGACAGCACTAGAAAAGTGGACTTCCTGAGCGCACCAAGGTCCCTCACAGCTCTTCAATTATCTTCATGAATGAAAACAGCCTTTTGTGCAGCAAAAAATGCTGCTTCTGGCATTAGGAGAGTTTGGAAAGTCTGAGAATTTCAAAGAAGGGAAGTTGAAGGATTACAACATTATTATCCCCAAATAAACTCTGAATTAACAAGTTCAATGGTTTGCTCCCTCAAGCTACCCCATGTGCTACTGCAGAAAAACATGACACTAAGGGTGATTTATTTGAGCTCAAATGATTTTGCATCATTTAGAGCTCTTTATACATGGATTAACGAAGTTTGCATTTTTGTCTGAGATCTTTCACTTAGCATAATTATGTTTTTTATATAAATTTATTTTTATTTTTTAAAAAATATATCTTTTTTGATTTCAGAGAGAGGAAAGGAGAGGGAGAGAGAGAGATAGAAACATCAATGATGAGAGAGAGTCATTGATCGAGCCCGCAACCCGGGCATGTGCCCTGACCGGGGATCAAACCCCAATCGCCTGGATCCTAGGTCAACGCTCAACCTGCTGAGCCACGCCCTACCGGGAAAATTTTTATTTTTCAATTACAGTTGACATTCAAAATTTTCTGTATTGGTTTCAGGTATATAGCATAGTGGTTAGAAAACTGTGTAATTTACAGAGTGGTGATTTACAAAGACACCAGGAATAAAACAAACATTCTTACATTTAATCTGAGATGACATGTATTTTTTTTTTTTGACAAATGTATTTTTAAAGAGCATGTTTCTTACAGAGATGAATAAAATTTGAAAACCCAAATTCAAGACAAAGGATAGAACCCTAGTGCACTGCCAGTGGGAATGCAGACTAGTGCAGCCACTGTGGAAAACAGTGTGGGGGGTTTTCAAAAAGTTAAAAATGGAGCTGCCTTATGACCAAGTGATCCCACTTCTGGGAATATATCTGAAGAAACCCGAAACACTAATTTGAAAGAATATATGCTCCCCTATGTTCATAGCAGCGTTATTTATAATAGCTGAGATCTGGAAACAGCCCAAGTGCCCATCAGTAGATGAGTGGATAAAAATGCTGCGGGGCATTCACA